CACGCACGCACGCACGCAACCACATAACACACACTGACACACAGCTGGACCTGATTAGTGCCTGTGTGTGTTATGTGGAGTTCATGTTGGAGAGTGTGTGACCATATGGCATAAAGCATCCAATTCTTACCTCACCCCCCACCTTTCGTCATGGGACTAGGCAGGAAAGACTCAACGACCAGCCAGAGTCGAACAGCAGATGTGAGTGTGTGTATGAGAGAGAGCGGTGGAATGTGTGAGTTGTAGTAAACCTCGTTTACAGCTCAAGCACACAAAGTCGACATAACTAGAACACTTAAAATTGACATGAAATCAAAATGTCATAACTTTCCTGTGATATAACTCACTTGACATCTATGATGCAACTCTTACTTTTCACAATCCAATCAAAAACCAATGCATGAAATCAAGATCCATCCTACGTTTTTTTTTCTTGTTCAATAAGCAGTTATTTTACTAACATTTACTCATTTTTAAGTAGCTTTTATTTTTATATTTTCAGTTTTCATTTTTATTTGCTTTTTAAATAATTCTATATAGTATAATTCTTTTCATTTTATATAATTATATTTAATTAAAAAAACTCATTTTTATTTTTTTTAATTTTCCATTTTAGTTGTACAGGTTGCCAAAGCAACTTTCTGATTTTAAAGTTTTTTTCAAGTTCTTCTAATATTTATATTTTATTTTATTTCAGCTTTATTAAAATTAACAGAATTTTTTTTGTGTATATATTGTTAGCTAAAACTAACAACACTGTCGACAAGCCATTTTACTTGAAAATATACACGGTCAATATGTTCAGAACTTCCATTTCTTGTAATTTTGGTACTTCAACTTATTTATTTCAGTTAGTTGTCAAGGCAATATTTATAGTTTTCATTTAAGTTCAGTCCAAGTTTTTAATCTAATATTTATATTTTATTTTACTTCAGCATTATTATTTCAATTACCTAAAATGATTTTTAATAGTTTTAGTTTTAGCTAACAATGACGACTCTCTAAAGCTGTCTGAAGTGCAAGTGTGCAAATTCGTCATAACTCAAATGTGTCTGTTTGAATCAACAAAGACAAGTACACTGTAACCGTACCAAATCGGGGGGAAAAAATAGAACACTCATTACAATCGATAAAGCTCACTGTCTGTACTGCCAGTGTGCAAAGTCAACAAAACTAGCATGCTTGGGGTGTATAGACACTGTGCTCGGGCATTTCTAGCTATTTAGGTTTTCTTAGATTTTTCACTTCCTTTGGGTTTATCATGCTAATATGCTAATACTGGGTTTATCATGCTAATATTATCATGTGTGTGACTCAAAGGGAGTCTCTGTTTGAGCTCCATTAGTCTCAACCTCACCCTGACACTACTGCTCACATTAATACACACACATTCATGTTTATGTGATGTTGATTGCATCATTTGAGTCGAGAAGTGTCAGGCCCAAAAGATCAATATTTATTGGAGCATTATGTGCTGATGTTCATACGTTAGTATATTCGTTTAGTCTGTAGGCAAGGTATCACATGTGGTTTTGGGCGTATTTGATTGTGTATTTTCTCTTCACAGGTGATCTGCATTCTGATTGGCTGCTGGCTGGTTATGGAGCATCCTTATATCAAAAAGGTATTGATTTTTCAGATGGATTAACTCGTGACTCATGCTGACCATTAATAATGCTGAGAAATAGGTGAGGAATGTTCAAACATTATTAAAGACAAGTGAACAGCCAATAATACAATGAGAACAGATAAACAAATTACAAGCAATGGAACAATCGAACAAAGATACAAATGAAATAAACAGTGCTTTTGTGACAACACAGCCTGTTTGGGCAAGTGACGATTAAATCGACTGTCCCGAGCATCTTTCACGCTGACCCCGATTTAGTTTTGTTTTGGATGTTTCTCTTAAAATTAGGTTGTTGATATTATAGAGGGATTCATAATATATCTCTGACCATGTCATTATGGGCCAATATTAACATTTTGGAAAGTATTTGTATTGTTTAGCCCAGTAATTCTCAACCAGGGAGCCTCAAGGTGATTTAAATAGTTAAAAATAGGACAAAACAAACTTTAAAAAGGCAAAAACAGTCAAATATCAAGATATTTATCCACTCAACAACTTTTTTTTCTTTGAAGAACTCGAGTTCCCACGGTCTTAAATAAACCTGGATATATGAGATTTATATTTTATCTTTATTTATATAAACATTTATTTTTGTGACCCGGCAAACTCAAATGGAAGTTGATTAAATCTTAAAATGCCATGGACATTTTTAGAATGAATATGAATTTTTCTATTTCTATAAAATATTTTTTGGAGAAGTAATGTAAGTAAAAAATATTTCGAAAAATGTATGTTCTTAATCCTTAGCCATAAAATTACAATAATGTAATTGGATAATGTACAATATATTGAATTTATTCATGTGTTGTTCCAAAGATGTACTTTTTTTTTTTTTTTCTATGGACCACAAAAGATATTTTGAATTTTTTTTTTTTTTTTTTGCCTATACAGTGAAAGTCAATGGGGTCCAATGTTGTTTGGACCACAACATTTTTTCAAAGTATCTTCTTTTGTCTTCTTCAGAAGAAAGATATCTACAGTTTGGAGTTTGGAACAACATTTCAATTGGCTCTTTATCTAATGTCATTGTTGCCTTCAGGAAACAATAGAGATATTAATGAGATAGCAGACATGTTTTTTCTTTTTTCTATGGGATCAGCCGTAGTTCTGCAGGACCCAGGGACTTTCTTGAACCCCAGTTGACGAAGCTACAGATTTAAAGCATTTGAGCGCATGAGATCTCTAATCCAGAGTGTAGCGAGTCTATAAAGGCTTCAGGTTCATCTGAGTGATTTATCATGCAGGAAATAATGTTATCACGGCACATTCCTCATGTAATATATGATCACACACACCTCCCATTGACCCAGGTGTGTGTGTGTATAAGTGAGTGACAGAGAGATTGCTCGTGTCTGCAGGGCTGATATTATCGCTTGCTGAAAAGAGAGATAGATCAAGAGGAAATTGAGCCATTTAAATCCCAGGAGCGCTTTATGATTAATTGCTGTCAGATATTAAACTGTCTCTCTCTGAAAAGATCTGGAAACCAGCCGAATAAAACACCACACACTTGTAAAAGGAAGTCATTTTTCCATTGTCTAAAAGCCAAATACCCTCTGCAATCCACCCACTACGGGTGGGCGGTATGATCCAAATCTTATATCATGTTATGAGTAATTTTATGTGACGGTAGCGGTCTGTATCAGTTTTTTTTGTTTTTATGTGTGGAAATAAATGTGTGGTTTATATATTAAATAACAATGTGGTATGTCTATTTCTGGATACTTTAGAAGCAAAAGCTCATTTGATTATTTTCTTTTATGTAAATTAAAAGACGATTATTTCTAAAAAGAATCTCAAGTCTCACATTATATGACGAAACAAAAAAATTAAATATTATGCATTGTAAATTAGATAGTTCTGACAATAAATTAGAATTTGTATCAGTCACGTTTTAGGTTATGCGATCATTATATGCATTACCTGTGATCCGCACAGTTGAACTCCATAATAATACGTCAAATTTAAACAATAAACAGTAAATTGAAATGACACATTTCTACTGTTGCGCGTAATATACTGTAAAACCTCCTGTTCCTACCACCCACAAACCCATTTTCTAGATGAAATCTAGAAATGAGTAGCTTTTGTGATGCATGTGTTCCCAAGAGCATTTATTACCTGATTTTGAGATTAGGTCAAGGTCAATTTATTTATATGAAAGTGAAAGTGACGTGACATGTGGCCAAGTATGGTGGAATTAGTGCTCTGCATTTAACCCATCCAAAGTGCACACACACAGCAGTGAACACACACACCTGGAGCAGTGGGCAGCCGTTTTTTTGCTGTGGCGCCCAGGGGCACCTCAGTCGTGGTATTGAAGGTGGGAGAGAGCGCTGTACATTCACTCCCCCCACCTACAATCCCTGCTGGTACAAGACTCGAACCCGCAACCTTTGGGTTACGAGTCCGACTCTCTAACCATTAGGCCACGACTTCCCCCATATATATATATATATATGTACATGTAAAAACAACTAGTGACTACCAAAGTGCTGTACATAAACAAATAATATAATTCCGACAGATATGATGGGGAAGCACCATTTAAAAATAAATAATAAAATCTTAAAATGGATCCTTTACTGCACCAGTAACCAGCGAAGAGATGCTAGGACCGAGGAAATACTTTCCCTTCTCCTAGAGCTAGTCAGTAACCTCGCGGCTGCGTCTGACCCAACTGCAAGTGATACAACGATGAATGGTTGAGACCCATAAAGTGCATTGCAATAATCTAGTCTAGAAGAGATAAAGGCATGGATAACTGTCTCCAAATCCTTAAATGAGAGCATAGGGTTTAATTGGCTATTTGCCTTAATTGGAAAAAGCTGCTCTTCACCACAGCACTTATCTGTTTGCCAAAATTCAGATCTGTGTCAAAAATAATTTTTTTAGCAAAGAAAAAAAAAAAAATGTATTTTTTTTTTTTTTTTTTTTTTTTAAATAAAGATTAAAAAAGATAAATATAGATAAAGAATAGAATTAAAATAGAATAGAAAGTGTTAGAGTTAGAGGGTCAAATAAAGGTGGAACAGATGTGTTTTTAGTCGTTTCTTGAAGATGGGTAAGGACTCAGCTGCTGGGATTGATTTGGGCAGAGCACTCCACCAGGAGGGAACAGTTAGTGAAAAAGTCTGTGAAAGTGATTTTGTGCCTCTTTGAGATGGCACAATAATACGCCGTTCACTTGCAGAATTTTTATTTTTGGGGGAAAAATTAAGACTTGTATTCAGCAAGGACATTTAATTGATCGAAAGTGACAGTAAAGGCATCTATAATGTTATGAAAGATTTAGCAGATTTCTATTTCAAATAAATGCTGTTTTTACATTATATTCATCCTAAGAGTCCTGAAAAAAATGTATCATGGTTTCCACAAAAAATATGAGGCAGCACAACTGTTTTAAACATTGATAATAATCAGAAATGTTTTCTGAGCAGCAAATCAGCATATTAGAATGATTTCTGAAGGATCATGTGACTCAAATTACAGATTACAAATTACTATTAAATTACATTTTAAAATCTATTCAACTGAAAACAGTTATTTTAAATTGAAATAATATTTCACAATATTAGTTTTTTTTTTTTTTTTTTTTTTTTACAAATAAATGCAGCCTTTGTGAGTCTTAGTAATCATAAAAGACTTTGAAAAGATTTTTAAAAAATCTCAAAGACCTCAGACTTTTGAATGGAAGTGTGTGTATTTAACACCTTAGCATCATATCGGTGAGTTTAACACAGGTAAGCACCATTCACATTTGCTGCAGAAACTGTAATCTACTTATCACATGGGACATTACACAGATGCCCTGCTGTGCTCTTATATGTTCGTGATTGGCTATTAAGATTGATTTACCTCCTTTCCGGTTTGCCACCCCCCCCCCACTCCAGTGCTCACGTCTGTGAAAGAGCTTATGCTAGTTGAGTTTCATTACTTCCTGTCTCAGTGGCTGGACTGGTGATCAATGCTGTATGTGTATGTGTGTGTCTGCTCATGTATGCACTTATAAACTTGTAAACTGCTGACGGATAACCCTCACATAACCCATTTATCTTGCATCCCTGAGCTGCTGTATCAGGGCCGGACTGGGACGCAATTTTAGGCTGGGAAATCTCACACTCATTCAAGCCACACAGAAAAAAAGGGGCCAAAATTGTACCTTTTGGGGTACAACAGCTTGACACCGTAGCAGTACACCGTACATATTACTACCTTAAAGGAGTAGTTCACTTCTAGAACAAAAAATTACAGATAATTAATGTACTCACCCCCTTGTCATCCAAGATGCTCATGTCTTTCTTTAATTAGTCGTAAATAAATAGTTTTTTGAGGAAAACATTTTAGGATTTCTCTCCATATAATGCACTTCTATGGTGCCCCTGAGTTTGAACTTCCAAAATGCAGTTTAAATGCAGCTTCAAAGGGCTCTAAACGATCCCAGTTGAGGAAGAAGGGTCTTATCTAGTGAAACGATCAGTTATTTTCTAAAACAAAGTTACAATTTATATACTTTTTAACCTCAAACGCTCGTCTTGTCTAGCTCTGCGTGAACTCTGTTTTTTCCGTTCATGACAGTTAGGGTATGTCGAAAAACTCATCTCATTTTCTCCTCCAACTTCAAAATCGTCCTAAATCGTCCTACATCGCTGTCTTGCCGTTTTATTTTTGTAAAGGTCATTTGATCTTCTTTGCATGTTCACTTTGTAAACACTAGGTCGGTACTTCTGCAGCGATGTAGGACGATTTATAGAAGTAGAAGTCCATTAAATGGAGAGAAATCCTGAAATGTTTTGCTCAAAAAACATAATTTCTTTACGACTGAAGAAAGAAAGACATGAACATCTTGGATGACAAGGGGGTGAGTACATTATCTGTACATTTTTGTTCTGGAAGTGAACTACTCTTTTAAGAGTAGTAATTCGTACTCTTAAGGTACTAATTTGTAGGCCTACCTACACTCTTAAAAATAAAGGTGCTTCACGATGCCATAG